TTTTTAAAAGGAATATCATATAAATGCAGAAATATGTCAAATATACATATTACAGTTTTATATTTTTTTATAAACATTTTGAAATTCTTCTAATAATAATAAAATTATCCTTGTGTAATAATATTGTGAGACGCCAATAAATAATGTATAAAGATTAAGTGATATTTTGTTGACATAAATCAGCCGTTTATTTTCAAGGATGTCGCGGCAAGCTAACTATTCATAAAACTATTCACCTTTTGGAGCCTTCTGTCTCGACATTATTGAAAGCTGTCTTGAGAATCACTAGGAATGTAGCGAGAGAACGCCTTTGGGTATTCGAAAATAGCGACGAGGCGAGGACGAAGGATAGAGTGGGTTACATAGCGGGTGATGAAGAAGAATGAATGGTGAATGGAGAGGAGTCCTTCTAACAGTCTATGCGGGCGCACTGTCCTAATTACAACGAGGTCCGGTATATTTTCGTTTTTTTTTTTTTTTTTTTTCCCCCTAAGCTGAAAGGAGCCGAAGTATTTGCCCGAGGCAACAGCAGGGGCTAGACCATTCCGGACCGCTTTCAGGATTCATTTGCAGCAAAGTGCAAAAGAATCACCGTCGGGACACAGTCATCGTCAATGATGGAACAACTAATAGTAGAAGAATCGGTGGATAGGCAAAGCGTATTCTGAAATAAAAACGTCGCACTTTTCTCAGCCATTCATAACGCTAACGGTCTTTTCGATCTCTTCTCACCGTTCATTCATACCTTGCCGAATGAGATTCCGATCGTTAATCTTTACCTGCGCCACCGGCAAAGATACTGGCGCATCCTTCTTTGATTTTCTCTTTGAGTGGTATGTATGCGCCGGACGTATTTCGGATTCCATTCCAGAAGAATCACCGATCTTTATCAATGTCTTATTTGTTTATTTTAATAAATATTTCTCTATTTCGGAGTAGACATCTTATGCCTGTCTGTTATAACGTATTATTTATTATATTGTAACAACAATTATTATAATGCGTTTACGATTGGCGTTGTGCAATAAATATAATATATATTAGTTTATGAATTAATATTTTTTTAATATTTATGAAATAATAATTTAATTTTTAATGATATGATTTGAGTGAGTGATGATATATATGATATATATACAAATGCATATTCTAGACTGAAGTAAAGAACATACATAAAAAAATAACTTTTCAGACAGAAACTTACAGCAAAAAATTTTCTTTGCTGTATTATTACATGTTAAAAAATATAGTTCGTTTTTTTTTTCTGAACGATTATCCCATCCGAACGATTATCCCATCTTCTTATAGAGTTCTAGAATCGTATCGTTCTTCCGTCAAACGCTAACGATCTTAATGGCAAGGAAAAACATTGACACCTTGGCGACGCTCGGAAGACCACCTAGGGAGGATGCCAAAGGGAAGGCAGGTAAGAATTGTTAAACACAGGATCAGCATGAGAGAAGTGGAAATCCTTATGAGAAAGTAAGTTGAACGAACGATGACAATGAGCTAACAGCGTGCGCAAACACGGCGGCTTGGGACAGAGCCGTACCCGGGTCGATGATCATGTATTTACGCGTTTCCTCTCAAACACCGACGACGTCGACAGCTCTAAAGACACGGCATCGGACACTGATCATGAGAAAAGACAAATCCCGTTTGGTCAGGTTGAAATGTTCCGAGTCAAATGCTCGAACGCGTGCCAATGATCGAAGAATTGCTTTGTTAATGCACTTATTAAAAAGCAAATATGCAAATAACAAAATATGCATAAGATAAATATACAATGAAAAATTGTATTTTAAAAATAAGATAAGTAAAGTGCGATAAGTAGAAATCCGTAACAAACCGGATTGGCATTTTAATCGGTAAAATTTTAATAAACTAATCTATTAATTTTATAAATGTAAAACATTTTACAAAGTATTTAGATATATTTTTAAAAGAGGAAATCGCAATGAAAAGGATCATAAAGGTGGTCTTATGAAATAAAAACAATAAAATATCGAACGGTCTTTGGTTTAATATGCTAAAACAGATTGGGCATTCTGAAGAGAAGCCCATGTTCAGAGTACATATCCACACACAAAATTAAAAATTTGCAGTTTATTACTATATTATTATATTATCAGATCATGTATGTACAATATATGAAGCGATCGCACTAATTAATTCAAATTCAGTTTATCTTGTGTCGCAATATATGGAATGCGACTATCCTATCGCTAGAATTTTATTTTTACGGTCCTGTACGATATCTCTTTATTTATAATTATCGGAATCATCTTGAAATAAATTAAAATCCTTAGACCGTATGTAATTTTCCACGCTGGTAATTATTTATGTGTTCTATTCAAATCAAATAGTAAAAAAAGAGATAGAGAGATTGGTTCAAAGCGTATGGAAATTATCGAATCCATTTTTCAATCCGAAAGCAAATATAATATTAATTATAGTTGCTGGAATCTTCAATATTACTTTTTGGAAAAAATGCTTCTATCAGAATTTGTAAAATAACTTTTATAACAAATCAATATCTTCAATCAATATCTTCAATCTCTGAAAATAATACTTACAAATATTATTAACTTATCGATATGTATGCACAAAGTTTTGATAGAAACTTCAATAGCACTTTTAAAATGTTAATTGTCCATTATTTTTATTTTTTCTTTTTTTCGCTTTCATCCTTTCTCTCTTTCTTTTTCTCACTTTTTATTTGTCTTCTTCTTTCATTGGAATGGAAGCAAACGTGGATCGATTCGATAATAAACAATTATTCGCCTGAGGGATGTTCTAAGATGCATATCACAGACGCGATGATAAGAAAAAATGTATTTTATGCAAATGTATTTTATGTATGTGTGCGTATAAATAATGATTTACGCATTAAAATTGCGTCAATGATAAATGCGAATCTCGGACTTGTACATATGATTTAAATGTTACTACTAAAATTAAGTATGACAATACACACTTCGATGCATTTATTTTTTTTTTTGTAGATGATCGCACAGTGACTTTTTACTATGACCAATTTTGAGAGAAATGGTCACATGACTATGAATCGTAAGTACCAAAAAAATTTTCTGGTATTAGTTTTGAAGACTGCCGGCATAAGGTGTATGTATATGTGTATTATATATGTCATATATTATATATATATGATGCATGTATACGTGAATATGTATATATGATTTGATTTAGAAATTTATAAAAATATACATGATGAATTATGATACAAGAATATATATCATATACATTTAAAAAAATATATATTGATTGTCTGATTACATTATTGATGGAATTATGAATAATAAATTTGAATCAATGAAGGAAATCTTCAAATGATATACCCTGTTGCCAATAGTCTTCAACAGTCTCGTATTAAAAATTCGTGTCGGTATAAAAAAATTAGAATATTGTAAAAGAATATTTTTTAAAAGAATAATATCGAGTAAAATATAGTACTAAAAGGATCTCGTTTGCGAGTGAAATAATTGCGATCAAAAGTGCAAAATTAACCAGCCTCTCAGTTAAGTTTTCTGATTAGAGTTTTCATACCCTGCAAAGGTACAACAAGAAGAGAAGCAGTCGCGACACACGGCGCATAACTATCGCGTTCTTCTCTTTTTGCACAATGTGTAATATTGTGATAATGAAACCCCGTACATACGAGCAATATGATGACATGTATGTACGGGGTCTTACTCGTCGCGCGCGTATAGCCTTCTGTCTTTCGTACACATTAGGCACTTTTAAGCTCAACTAGATACTTTAAATACAATTAATCGGAGTGTAAAATCTTTATAAAAATAAAATAAATAATCTGAATAAATATGGATATACTCTCTAGTTATATTTATATATATATAATGTTCATATATAACATAATATTATATATAACATATATATATATATATATATATATATAAGTAGTCAATAAATTATTATATGAAATTGTGGAGTATGAATCGCTCGCGAAGAGATGCCTTTCTAACAGAATTATAAGATTTTTATCGTATGCATACGTAATATACGTAACACGCGTATTTATCTAATTATAAAATCTAAATTATTGCAAAGTTCAAAATATTGTGTTCATTATGAACCTATAGCATGATTGGATTTTCTTTTATTATCTTCTATTTTAATTTATTACTCTTGCTTCATGCGTTTAGCATAAAGAATACGTAATAAATACATAAGTGTTTAAGCTGTTAGAAAATCACACGAAAAAGATAAATTTGAGATTTTTCATGAAATTTTCTTACTTTCATTGTTTCAACCTAAAGTATTCTTTATACTTCATATAACAATCATTTATACTAATGATCATTACAATTCATATTAAGAAATATTATTAATAAATCTTTAGTAAAAATCAAGCCAATTAAATTGCGGTCGTACTTAATGTTAATTATGTGTTAAAAGAAGAATGTATCATGTAACGAATATTACGTTCTTTGTTTGTCATCAATTGTGATATGTAATTGTTATCTCGAAAACTATTTCACATTGAATATTGGCTCAATTGTTGGATCTAGGTAGCTTTACTTTCTTTCTCGCGTATAAAATCAAATATATATATGCGCGTTTGTAGGGCATCTTCGCGCGAAATCATAACATGTGTGATTATATGTGATTGTGAATTGCAACAGCGAAAGCCATATACCATTAACACATCACGGTTTTCTATTTTTGTTTTCTATTCGTCTTCATTTTATCTAGTTCGGCACCACACAAAGTATCATCAAAGAAAAGGATGATGAACATGATAAGAATTATTAATGGCTGCCGATATTCCTCTATCTCGAAGTCATCATAAAATTTGCTATGGACATTATGATGCAGTATTATTCATTGGTTTGAAAATGTTGATCCATATTTTTGGTATCAACGAATAATCAGATCTTTGTTGCAGACAAATCATATTTTTGTTAAAAATCACTGGTTTTCTGATGACATAATCAGAAAGATGGCATATATCAGAAGATTAATTTTTTTTTTTTCGTTTCTTCCATCCTCTTTTCTTCTATCATCTCAGGAAAATGAAGCCATCACTGATTGCGTTTCATTTTCTGAGATAGGAGATGGAAAACGTTGTCTGGTAACCCTTCTTCGGCTTTCGCTTTGCGATCTTTAGGAGTCTGCAGATGGCGGACGCAGGTGCCGGCGTAGGTGCTTGAACACTTGTATCACGTATTCGAGACCGTTCATGTATTCCCGGTATATCAGCCAACTTCGCAGATCACGGAACGTCAGAGACGTCATCAATCGGTATTCATCCGCCATGATATCTCGAGTGACGTCCGGTCGTCGCGTTAGGCTACGTTCGTCTAAAGCGACTTGAATCTCGCAGAGGACCTGAAAAAAGAAAAGAATCAGGGTATTAGTGATATTTGTAATATTTGAATATAATTTTCAGTATGATAACATCTTTTAAGAAAAAAATAATTAAGAAATTAAAAATGTTAAAACAATAACTGCAAATATCTGATGGTTATATAAAATTGTTGTTTTAAAAATTTAATTACTAATTTAAAATTGATCATCGCAAAAATAGCAAACATATCTCATAAATACAAGGGATCAAGATAAGTGTTGTTAACAGTTCTCGATAGACGTCGATTATTTTTTGAAATAATCTTTCAGAATCTATATTCTCGAAGTCGGTGATGCACATCAAGAATAACTAAAAAATACGGAAACTTCAATAGGAACCTGAGCGCGCCCAAAGCCATTCGTCGGAATAGTCGATAAAATGGTAGTTAGCGACGATCTTTAACGTCTCAACCTTTACGTAAAACGATCGTAAAACTTGGCAAAACGTCTTTTATCGTGCTTGCAGCAACAGAAGGCAGAATAATTCAGGCTAATTGTACCGACGTTATTGTGAAAGTCGCACACCGTGATTTTTTTTTTTTATACCGCGCGTAGTGAAAGAACAGCAAATCGGACACTCGTGGCTTAGCATAATTACTTAGCGAGATAACTGATCTG